AACTATTGTCTATGAGTTTTTGTTTCTTTGTTTGTCTTGTTCCTTTGTTGTTTTCAGTTTTATATCCCACATATCAGTGAAATCACATGGTTTTCCACTTTTTATGTCTGACTTATTTCACCTAGCACAATAATCTTAAGATCCAGCCATGTTGTCACAAATGGCACCATTTCATCTTTTCTTATGACAAAATAGTATTCCATTGTGTATATATACCACATCTTCTTTATCCAATCATCTATCGAAGGACACTTTGGTTGTTTATAACTAATTACTACAAATGTTGTTATTGAATACTCCTCCTTTACAAAAAATTGAGTTTCTTGACACCATTTCCCCCACACATTACCTTGTTCTCCTACCTGGCTGCTGGCCTTAAGAGCAAGGCAGGCAAGTTTCTTCCTGAGTGCATCCCACCTTGAGTAGAAACCACCTTAAAAGGAATAGCCTAACCCCTCTTCTCAGACTCTCAATGTTCTTATTACACAAAGCTGTTAAAATCAACAAACTGCAGATTTACTGGGTTTGTTCTGCTAATTCATACTTACTTCCGGAAGTGCTTCTGTTTATTACATTCCCTTGTAGAGATTTAGTATAGTATGTATGTATTTTTTACAAAATGCTACAGACGTGTTTTCTTAAAAAAAAAAAAATTTTGCGGGAAATCACTAGAGTCAAGAGAGTTCAAATGCAATCTTTCATTATTTACAATTTTCTCATTTTCATATGAAAAAACAAGCTTTAATGGAAAAAACACGACTTCTCTTGTATCATCATCAATCCCAGAACACACTGGAATACGTCTTGTTTTCTTACCAAACATGATTTCATTCTATGTAGGCAATAAAACTGTTGTAGGAAAATGAATCACTTAAATGAGACTTAGTGGGAAAATCAAGATATTAATATAAATTTACTTAAACAGCTCTTGTTGGAACAGTTTGTTACATGTAATATTCCTTACTATATATAAAAGAGAAGAGAAAAACAAAACTTCACTTACCTTTTAAAGATTATCTTGGTCATAAGCACATTTATTTTTAACTTACTAAATAAGTTTCTGTGTATCATACATTTTTATTCATTGTTTATAATATATAAAAGGAAATATAAAATTTCTAGTATTTAAAGATTGATAAACAATAAATCATATATTTTAATACCAATGCTAGTTTCTAACCGAATTATCTGAAAAATAGCAGCAGCTTATACATATGCTATGTAAAATTATGAAAACATGGTATGCAACAGTTAAATGTTTAATAAATGAGCAGTTGTTATTTAAGATTAATATACCACCAAAAGAAAAGAGGCATTCAGTACAATACAATATCTGTTCAGTGACATAAACATTTTAGGTATTGATCCAAGGAGTGAAAATACAACACACACATATGAATTATGCAAAGCACAAAGCCACAACACATGTCATTAATAAACAAGGGTTAAAATACAATCATTTCACATTGACTAATCACAAAAATACAGTCATTAAATTAACAGACATAGGTTAAGATTTATTTATTCCTTTCTTTAATCATGCTTATAAATTATTACAAGATTTCCCACAATGTGGAGAATATTTATATGTATATTAACAACTTTCTTCTTAGTTACACTTCAGTAATATAGCAGTTCATATTTTAATTTTGCTTTAAAATGAAAAGGGTTTCTGAAATTTCAAGTCATTCATATATATATAAGTATATACATACATATACACATACATACACACACATTCTTAACTTTCTAACCTAGTGAATTGGACCTGTTGAAATTAAAGTTATCTATGAAAGAATAGTAACCTGATATGTCAATAAGAGGTATTCTGAAGTTTGGCTAATATACAGCAACACTGAAAGAGGTAAAAGGTTATATCCGGTTTTAACAAAACTTCAGATCCCTTAAACTCTTTTAATATAAAAGAATAAATTAAGGAACAAAATCCTTCATATAAGTAAAGAAACCCAAGCACTCTAATGATATATATGTACTTTATACATATAAAAAGTAAATAAATAAGTTTTTAAAATTCTGATATAAACATTTGTAATTTTTAAAATTCATATTCAATTTATCAGAAAAATAAAGATTACAGTTCTTCACTAGTGCAAAGACTGAATTATTCAATGAACTCCTCTTGGAATAGACATGTAGTAAACAATGAACTGTGTACTGCTGTTTTCCTATTTTGTAGTCATGATTATTGTTTTCTTTTTTATTTATTTTTGTGAGGCTGAAAAAGTCATCTATGCCCAGGACTTTAATGTACTTCAAGGTTTTTCACGTATGACATCATTTACATACAAAAACTAGTGTGACAGAGTATACTGGATCCCAGTATTAGATACATTCCAACAGAATATGTAAGTATTGTATGATGCTGTACACCTTAAAATTATACAATGTTATAGGCCAATTACATCTCAGTAAAGCTGGAAAAAACTTGTGTGAATGCCATAGTGAATATATAGAGAAGGTTGATAAACAATAAAAGGTTTTAAAAATAATAAACAAAGGATTAAAAATATCTAAATCTGACCCCAAATGAACATTTGTAATTCAAATATTCTATAATTGTAAGTACATTGTATGTTAAATTTAAAAAGCATTATAAAGTTTATTAAATAGAACAGAAGTCAGCAAACTTTTTCCAGAAAGGGACAAATAGTAAATATTTCAGGCTTTGGGGGGCCAGATAGTCTGTATTGCAACTAATCAACTCTACTTAATAGTGCCAAAGCAGCCACAGGTAATGCATAAAAAATGTACATGACTATGTTCCAATAAAACTATTTACAAAAAATAGGCAGTGGGCCAGATTTAATCGATTGGCTATAGTTTGCTGACCCCTCAAATAGAAAATCTGACTCAAAAACACTTAACTTTAGGTACTTCAATACCTAGCACAAAGCAGGAGACATAGTAAATGTTTAATGCTTTGTGAATTAATGAAATCATGAATGAGTAGGAAAAATAAAAACTTTGTGCTCAGAAACAAATGACATTACAATTCAATCTCTAATTAGGAAAGCAGACTCCTAACCACTAATTGAGGCAAAATTCCAAAAGGCAATCCATAGCCTTATTGAGAACTAGGCTTGCCAATTAAAACCAATAAAATGAAAGAAAATGTAACAGAGATATAGAATTTCCAATTTCAGATGGCTAACAAAAAACTGATACCTATTTGTGGTGAGTTCCAACAGTATTTCAAATCTCTCCAACTAGACAGTAAACTCCATTGGGGTAAGGAACATATCTTTATTATTTCTGTAGCACAGTGCCTAGGATATAGCAGATGGTTAGCAAACATTAAGTAAAAATGGGAATGCTTTCTATGGTAAAATATGCTTTTGTTAATTCCCACAAAGCGATGGTTCTCTGATACAGCAATTTAAGGTCTTCCTATAAAGTTTAAATGTTCTGTTGTTTTGTATCAGTCACACTTTGACTATAAAGATGAATTTCAACCTGAAATAGAACTTGACCTACTTTTTAAATAACATGAGATGAAACTTGGGTTTACATATCATTGTAAAGCTTTGACTTTGACAAAACAAAATAAAACAAGTACAGGCATCAGTGTTGTTTATAAAACCAGGGTTATAAATATTTTCCAAATGCAGAACTGTTTAGTTATAAGTAGACTATAAACTCAAATCAGTTTTCACCTGAAAGAAGTATACTTGGTTATTCATGATTTAAAATATCGAAAGTGACCAAAATGTTAATTTCAATTTACATATATGTATATATGTATGTATACATACAGTAAAACCTTGGATTGTGAGTAACTTGGTTTACGAGTGTTCCGCAAGACAAGCAAACATTTCTATTAGGTTGGTGCAAAAGTAATAGCGGTTTTGGCTGTTACTCGTAATGGCAACTACTGCAATTACGTTTGCACCAACTTAATAGTACATTTTAAACGAGCAATGTCGTGCAAAACGAGTACAGTAATACCTCGGTTTGCAAGCATAATTCATTCTGGAAACAAACTACTCATATTAAAAGATACCGCTTGTTTACCAAGTTAAAATGTACTATTAAGTTGGTGCAAACGTATTTGCAGTAGTTGCCATTACGAGTAACAGCCAAAACCGCTATTACTTTTGCACCAACCTAATAGAAATGTTTGCTTGTCTTGCGGAACACTCGTAAACCAAGTTACTCGCAATCCAAAGTTTTACTGTAGTTTGTTTCTGGAACGAAATATGCTTGCAAACTGAGGTATTACTGTATATATAAATTCAAAGCCAAGATATTTGAAAATGCTAGAAAAAATAAACCATTCACTGGCAATATTTATGAATTTTGTCTATGGCTCCAAAAAAATAAACAGAAATTAAAACATCCCCAAAACACAGTAACTCCACATAGTGGAAGAAATGAATATTCATATAAATTACTATACAAATCATACTTTTCCATGATGTATGTAACAAATTGTAAACAATTAATTTACTTTATGTAAGTAAATTACTCTGTTTTTAAAAAATAATTTCACATTTCCAAACAAAATACTAAGTTTAACAATGATTAAAAACAAAGTTTTAAAGAATGTTACTTGCTTTTGGATCAGTTACTAGATATTGACAGACAACAAGAAAGCCACACACAGTTATGCACTCAAACAAGACACAGCCTTAATTTGCCATTGTTACAAGCACAATGTTAAGATTATATACAAATGTAATAGGGCAAGCCAAAGATCTACTGGAGAAAAATATTTCCATTAGAATAGTGCTATGGTTCAAAATTCACTTAAAAAATAAATACATATAAAACTATTATGTATATTACAGTCCTTGAAATTGAATGGATTCTTTTCCAAACTATCAAATGTAACAAAACAAGCCAAGATGGCCAATACTGTGCTTAAAAAAAAAAAAAATCAGAGAGGATAATGTGCATCACAATTTATAAAAAGAAGAAATTAAAGTAAAAGGGGACAGTAAAACAAAACAAAACAGATAAAAACAAGAATATTATCGTACCGATTTCCATGGTCCCCGATGCCATGACACATCATCGGGGCAAGCATGCACATGACATTGAACCACACTAGGTGGCTTGTTTAAAATTTCACAGTTTTGCTCCTGTGACATTTGACCATTGGGAAATTGACATATTACAAATCTTGATTTTATTCCTCCTCCACATGTTTGTGTACACTAAAAATAAGAAGAGAATTCAAAATAATGTTGCTTTAAAAAGAATATTTATATTGCTTTATTCAATGTTGAACACATAATTAGTAATGCTAGAGTTCAAAGTCTATGCTTTCTTCACAATTCTCAACTTTTTTTCCTGGGTAAAAAAAGAAATCTAATTATTACTTCCATTAGGAAAAAAAAATAGACATAATTTTGATAATTAGTACCATAAGATATTTCACTAAGATATCAGGGTGTATGAGATAAACTCTTGATAGGCTAAGGGCCTGACAGGTTAAGCCAGAACAAAACTGATTTACTTAAGTAATAAGTATTACTATATAATGTATGGTATCCTCTCAGTAGATTACGATGTAGCTAATGAAAACTAAGGAAGCTGATCTAAATTTAAAAACATGAAAAGATATTCAGTATATATGACATGAAAATAGCATGTGGCAAAATAGCATGTATAATATGAATCTATTTCTGGATCAACATAGAACATAGGCCTGGCAAGAAATATATCCATATGCTAAAAGTTCTTATTTCTACATAACTTTTCATATTTGAACTGTCACAATAAGCATGTCTAAATTCAGAAAAAAAAATTTTACTTCCACTTGGAAAAATAGTAAAAGTACATTTTTAAAATGTCACTTTTATTAGTACCTGGTCAAACTGTATCTTTAAAAAATGATTTTCTACATTTCCTCTGAAGAATAAATATATACTAATAATCATTAAGTAGACATATTTGACTAAATTAGGTTATTTTATTCATCCAATAGAAGTCTTATTCTTTCTCATCCATAATATATGTGGGATTAGTATTCATTACAACCATTTAAAATTTTTTCTTTATATCCAAAGTACCTAGAAGAATGCCAGGACATGAAGAAAAGTACTCAATAACTGGCAAACTCTTTAATAGATTCATCAAATGAATGGTTCAGTAAAAGTACATAAAACAGGTCTATGTATCAATCTAATTTTCTATCTTTACATCAATCCATTTTTCTAAGAAATTAAAACATTAATATGCTACTGTTAGAAAGATAATAGGTTCACAGACATATTGGCTAGCATATTAGATTGTGTTAAAAAACGTGGAGTACATAGTTCCTATCCTGAGTGAATGATACATACCATGACAGACGACCCATTAAAATAGCATGATTTTAGTTAATTAAAAAAACAGATCTTTCTATATTGTATAGTGAGGTAAGATTATTCAGTCTTCAGAGATGTCACAATCTGCACAAGTTTAAGAAGCATTTGGACTTACTTCTCCCCAGCTTCCGTAGTTCCACCGTGGACAAGGTCCTGAATCACAGTGTTTTGACTCGGGTGGTTTGGAGGCTGCATCACAGTGACGGGCGCTTTCTCCATTTTCATCCTGGCAGACCACAGCTCTCCGCTGAACGCCTCCAGCACAACTGCTAGAGCACTGACAAGGATAAAACACACAAACTACAGATTCCACATCATAAAGTTACATGGTGCACAAAAAATAGTATTTTGACTCAAATTCAAACTCTCCACATTAAAATCCCCCTCGTTGGAATCATAATTTGAATAAAAAACACTTGAGTTTTACTAGGGGGATTCATAAAAATTTGCTGATGAAAAGGTGACATTTTAAAGCTTACAATAGGAAATTCACCCTTGTCTTAATACTTAATACTTTAATACTTAAGTAAAAAGGAATTAAATGTTTAAGGTCTCACTATGAAGGAATAAAAAATAAAAGGTACTCTTAAGTCACTTAACTTTTATATTGCTGTTTTTCCTTATTTGATGTCATTAATATCATGTAAAATATGAACTACAATTGAACCTTTTGTAGTTTATCATGATTATACAGCAGCTTACTACATTTCTATCATAGTAATTTCTGGGTTTGATTTCTTTTTTCATAAACACTTGTAGTCTTACCTCTTAAAAGATTTTCTTTTGTTTGTATTACAATGGATTGTACTCTGTTTTTAAGTGCATGCCTCTGTAAGCATATCACATTAGTGTATAATTCAATAAGAATGCCAGGGATTTGTAATCTGCATAAAAAATTGCTTAATCCTTTTAAGATTTAAATGATTGATCTTTAGATAAATCTAGCTATAAAAGCATTTGATACTATTACATACATATCTGTTAAAAGGCAGTAATATAACAACATTACAGAATTAATATAACTCAATAACGGCGGCTTACTGATCCCCATGGTCCTGTTCTCCATTGGTTTCCTCTGATTGACGGATGGACCCCCTGATTTTGATTATCTTCTGGTTTGTGAGTTAATGGAAAATTCCTGCCTGGAAAACGATTTGGCTGCTCAGAGGAACTCGGGAAGTTGCTGTACGTGAGTGGGCAGGCTGCCACATTACATTCTTGTTCTATTGAAGGGCGGACTTCAGGGTCACAGTAATTCTCATTAATTGGCTGATGGTACTTGATGCATAAAACTTGTCGAGTTGTTTTTCCATGGCCACAGGAAGCTGAACACTGATCACACATTTAGACAACATTTATAATGTAGTAAACTACAATATTAGACTAAATATAAAATGTTATATGTAAATTTTTCATTTCATTTTTTTTTATCATAAAAATACTTACAGGTGACCAATTCCCTGTTTGCCACTCCCCACAAGGGCTAAAGCAGACAGCTATTTCAGCAGGTCGAGGTAAATGGGCACAGAATGATTCGTCTGCTATTCCATCGTGAGCATCGCGACAGCTGACATAGCGGGCTTGACTACCTCTTCCACAAGATGCGGAGCACTTAAAAATTGAATTAAACCAAGGCGTTATTATAGTACTTCTCCTACTTTGTTTACACATAGCTGTTGCTCACATTTCTAAAATATAAAGTTTCTTGAAAAAAAAATGAATTATAAATGATATCACCTGGCATCACTTCTGAGTCAATGACAGAGCAGTGAATATCTCACTCAATTTAAATCATAAATTTACAAATCAAATATTTATGATGAGAACAAAACACTCAACTTCCTGGAATACTAGTTATTTGCAAAATTAAAGATATGAAAAGCATTTTATATAAGAGAACCTTAAGATATTTAAAATATCCTTGAAAGACTTCAGTAATAGAGTAGATATGATCCTATAATTAAATATTCAGAGAATATGTGAAGCTTAAAAATATATACCACATACAGTTGAAGCAAAGCTTTCAGTTTAGAAAACTGACATGAAAATGTTGGCAATTTAAATAAAGGATGATAAAAAGCCTAATGACACATCTCCTTCTCAGAACAACTTATGACATAAATATTATCCCCATTTTGAAAATTAGAAGTAGACCCAGAAAACTTAAGTTTCTTGCCCAGAGACATAGAGTTCTTGAAAAGCACAGCAGGATTTGGCCATTAAATTACCTAATTCTAAACCCCAAACTCCTTCCACACCATCAAAAAACCTGACAATGAATCCATACATTAATTTGGCAAATCCATAACAACCATTTTGTCAATGTCCAAAAGCCTCCAACAATAGAAACACTCTACCTCTTATAGGAATTCACTTACTGGGGTCCAAGAACCATGTCGCCATTGTGCCATCTTTCCTATGGGAACAACTGGTAATGAAGTGGCCCCAATTTTAGGGAGAATTGGGCAAGGTGTCACTATACAGTCCTATTCAAAGAAAAATGGATCTCATTAAAAATCAATTAATCCCTCTGATTTACATTAAATCCTATAATTCATTTTTTCTTCTACATATCTAATTCAAAAACAGCTGCAGACTAAATTACAAATAATGTAAAAATGCCCATTTTTTAAAAGTACAAAGTACTGTTAGGGCTTGAAGTAGATAGTATGGCTCTGAATCCTAAATTTTGGATCATTCTGTCTGATAGCTGAAAAGTAAAAGAGCAGTAGTCCTTCAGAAATACCACCAAGATGGAACATTCTGAATGAACACAGACGCTACCTTAAACAGGACGACACACTTTAAGCGTTCGTGATATGCATAGTAATAGTTATCCTTCTTCTGCAGTTCAGTGGATGGAAATATATGTTAAATGAGTGATCCAATGGCAGATAAAGAGTAGAAAGTCATTAATAAAGCTATGAGGCTGGCAAAACCAAGAACAAAAAATTCTCTCTGATGCACATGCACACACATTTTTAAGGCATATAAGTCTAAGTGGAAAAAAATGCATACAGAAATAATTTTAATGCATCAGTAGTCCTCCTGTATCATAAATCTTTTAGTTTATAATCCATGGAAAGATGTCCTTTACCTGCCTGTCACTAGGGCGACCCACTCCATGGCACATCCTGTCATCTAACACTGCACTGAGAAGCTCATTGACACATTTAACAGCACGCATCTGATACCCATGTCCACAGGTGGCTGTGCACTGAAGGATGTAAGCAGATACCAAACACCATTATTATTCAAAAATTACATAAACTTAATTTTGTTAGTGAATACACAGTTAATAGTATTTTCAGTAGATCTTTTTATGTGTCCTTTACACCAGATTCCAGACTTAATTTCAGCAAATTTACTCTCTCTATATTTATTCAAATTGACATAGATACTAATAAAATATTGATAAAATGGAGTTATTATCATATCTTTAAAACATTATCATGTAAAAACATCAATAGAGTCCTAATATTTTGGTGGCAGAATCAATACAATGTAGGGAAATTACTTTTCAAAATGTACCTGGTATATGTGTATGTCATTTAGTAAGCTACATAAATTGATTGAGTGATGGTGTTGGAGGACAGCTCTATGATACCCTGGACTGACAGCAAGACAAACAAGTGGGTCCTAGCAAATTAAGCCTGAAACACCGCTGGAGGCAAAATGACAAACTGAAGCTGTCCTACTTCGGGCATCATGAGAAGGTACGGTTTTTCGGAAGAGACAATAATGCTGGGAAAATGGAAGGCAGCAGGAAAAGAGGAAGACCCCATATGAGATGGATTGACTCCATAAAAGTAGCCATAGGCATGAGTCTCCAGGAGCTGAGCAGGGCTGTGGAGGACAGGACAGTGTGGACACCACCCATTCAGAGACACAAAGAGTCAGAGCCCACTCAATGGCTTGTAACACACACGCTAAGTGAATTTCAAAGAGATAAATAAGGAAGAGCATGAGACAAAGTTAAAGGGAAGACGAGAGAATCTTCCCCATCAACTGTGGCAACCTCCCACAGAATAAGCTGCCCACCTCAGTCAACCCGACCTTTTCATCATTCAGAATCCTAGCTGCCTGTTTGGCAAAACTTCTCAACAATGCCTCTTCTAACTACAGTAAAGATAATTTAGACACAGTACATGAAAATATTTACAGTTTAAACAAGTCTGACGAAAACATAAGTTTGTAGCATTTTGATCAAAAGTAAATTCAAAAATGAAGCTGAAATGGTTACCAAACTAAAATTAACAGTACTGACCACATTTTGCAGAAAAGGGTTTACTATTTCAGTGGTATTTTTCCAATAAACCAATCCAAATTTATCCAAACCAATCCACACCAATCCACAAAACAATGAATATACCGCAACGTTTGTACTACTCTGTAAAGATGGATTAAATCAGAAAAAACCCTCGTCATGTACTCACAGAACTCCATGGTCCTACTTGCCACGAAGCACATGTATGCAGCTCACAGGGCCTCAGGGATTCAGGTTTGGCACTTGGGTTACAGAAGCCATCGCTCAAATGATCGTCATTCAGTTCACACCACACCTGCCGCTGCTTTGTCCCTTTTCCGCATGTAACAAGACACTGTAAGAATACAACTGACAGTTATTTATTTTCAGTATTAACAGAAATGCCATACAAAATGACACAATGATCAATGTGTATATTAAAATGCAGTTGAAAGGCAATTCCTGGGGACATTTCCCTGCACTTCTCCAGAGATATTCACTGGGTAAGTTCAGCCACCCCAAACTTGCTGCCCAAATCCCATGTGATGTCCATTTGGCCTAGAAACAAAGGTACAAAACTAACCTTAGAATAAGTATGTATCTCAGGCAAGTGTGAACAGTGGGACTTTATTATGAAAGTGGTTAGAGAGTGAACATCAGTTAACGTTACTGTTAGCCAGATACTGTCAACGGTTTAAGAACAAACCATTTATTAATTGTTATTGCCTTGATAATCAAGTTATTTACAAAATGATAAACACATTAATATTTTAGAATTACATAAAGCCTTAGATTGCAAAGCTTTCCTACACAATAACATAAGAGTTCTAAGCCTCATGTGTTTAATGTTACCTCACTCCACTCACTAGTAGCCCAAGTGGGACAGGAAAATTCATTGCAATTCTCAATTGTCACTTGGGGAAGCTCTTGGCATTCTCTGTCAGCAAGACGGTGGCCAAAGTTATTTATACAGTAAGCGTCTCGAGATCTCTCCCCTCCTCCACAGCTCCTGGAACACTGATTAAAGAAAAAGGGGGCGGGAGTAGGGGAAAGTGGTGACAAATGGGAAAAAATTAAGAAAAATATACTTTAGAGTAACAACTATTTAATTAGAAAACAAGGGGGTAACTTTTCTTAGACAATACTTTTTATGTGTACCTGGGACCATTCTGAATAGTGCCACCTTGTTAAGACACAGTCACCATGGCAGGGTTCTCGAGTGGGAGGTTTCAGTTGGTCACTGCAGTAGTGGTCATCCACTGGAACAGTCTGTCCTTTATGAATGGAATACTTCATGCAGTGGACGTCCAAGGACCTATATCCTTGACCACAATGGGATGAACATTCACTTTTGCCAATGATGTGCCACCTAGAAAAGACGATGTTATTACACTTAGGTGTGCCAATTAATGCAATTTCAAAAACAGATTCAGGGCAACTCATGCATATGATTCCACTTTTAAAAGCCTGTTCGAGTTGATAAAGAAGCCATCTGAAAATATTGATGTATCATGGTATTAGAGATGAAATGTTCTTAGCGATCATATAGCCCAAATATTAATTTTATAGATGAGAAAATAACCCAGAGGTGTTGTGTATTCAAATAGTGTAAAAGCTTGACTTTTTGTTAGAAATATTACTTTGTTCCCAAATAAAATCTAACTTTCTCTCCAAATATGTAAAAATGTAGCTGATCTGGTGCAAGTGGAGACAGGGAGCCAGCACTCTATCTACTGACCTCATCTTGACATTTGGTGGCAGCTCTGGAGTTATGTCCCATGAACTCCAGGCTTCACCCCAAGCTTGTAAACAAGTGATATAGATCAAGATTGCCCAATTATTGGGTTGTCGGAAAAATCATGATGTATTTTTTTTCTATGTTTTTCGTATAACTGAATCTATTTAACTCGTAATCAGGTAGTGTCTCCCTCTATAGTTATGATCATGAAATATCTGGGGATCTGACTACATCAATAAAGACAAAGCCTTTAAAAGTTGGTAAACTAGGTTTTTGTCAAGCATATCACATTTTCTCATTAATTAATGTAATGTATTTTCAGACATGTTTTCAAGGAAAACATTTTTTCCACAAGTAAAATTTGCAGCTGTAGCAATATGATTCCAGTTATGGCCCAGCAATCTATCAGACAATCTGAATGCAGCAGTATAACAAAACATTGAATTCATGGAGTTCATTTCCATCCAAATAGCATCTCAAGGATTTTGTTTTCATTCCACTACAACACGGTGATGCAACTTATACAGGCAATTCTACCACTAGGCTTTTGCTGTATGTCTTCAAACAATATCATAAAAATATAAAAATTCTCATTCTTGCTAAGGGAAGGTTCTTGCCATCCCTGTTAACTGTCACTCATTAGATGAGGTTATTGTTCTTAGATTCATTCTAAGACAAATGACAAAAAAACAAACAAACACCTAATGACAAGAAATTTAGGTTGGAAGTACAAACTTCCCTGCCATGATCTAGATTCATTTCCTTAACATTTAATGGACAAAATGCTGATAAAATTGATTTCTNTGTTTTTCGTATAACTGAATCTATTTAACTCGTAATCAGGTAGTGTCTCCCTCTATAGTTATGATCATGAAATATCTGGGGATCTGACTACATCAATAAAGACAAAGCCTTTAAAAGTTGGTAAACTAGGTTTTTGTCAAGCATATCACATTTTCTCATTAATTAATGTAATGTATTTTCAGACATGTTTTCAAGGAAAACATTTTTTCCACAAGTAAAATTTGCAGCTGTAGCAATATGATTCCAGTTATGGCCCAGCAATCTATCAGACAATCTGAATGCAGCAGTATAACAAAACATTGAATTCATGGAGTTCATTTCCATCCAAATAGCATCTCAAGGATTTTGTTTTCATTCCACTACAACGCGGTGATGCAACTTATACAGGCAATTCTACCACTAGGCTTTTGCTGTATGTCTTCAAACAATATCATAAAAATATAAAAATTCTCATTCTTGCTAAGGGAAGGTTCTTGCCATCCCTGTTAACTGTCACTCATTAGATGAGGTTATTGTTCTTAGATTCATTCTAAGACAAATGACAAAAAAACAAACAAACACCTAATGACAAGAAATTTAGGTTGGAAGTACAAACTTCCCTGCCATGATCTAGATTCATTTCCTTAACATTTAATGGACAAAATGCTGATAAAATTGATTTCTCTATGTATTGGTTCTCTAATCCTCAAACTTTGAAAGTTTATTGGTTCATAAATTCAATAGGAATTACAGAATTATGCTGCAAAATTTATTATTTCAGATCTTTAAACCATGAGTTTTCAGATTAGAGTTTACCCCTATTTATTTTATAGGCAAATGTGTTTCTATTTCCTACACAAAATATTGAGGCTGGATTCAGGAAATACTATGAACAAAAACTCAAATCAACTGCTGAGTTCCACAATACATTAGTGAACCTGAAATTTTATAATGGCAGGGACAGAGGACAGACATTAATTATATGTTTACTGTGTGCCAGTTTATCTCACTTATTGATTTTAATCTGGTTACGGAATACACTGGTTACAATATATATTATTCCCCCTTTACCTTAGGTCACAGTCTATATTGCACCTTTCAGTCACAAACAAGGGAAGTGGCAGGTGGTCACATCTTTGATCGGACATTACCATATGATCACTCTTACGTATGCAGGTCATTTTTCTTCTATGAAAACCTTGGCCAAAATCAAATAAAAATTAAAAATAAGAGGAAAAGTCACATAAGTAGATCTTCCTTAATTATGTAATTCTGCTAATAGCCTAAAGGATTCAGCTAAGAAAGCCAAAAGTTCCAATGCAGCATACAGGGAAGGCTAGCATATTAATCTAGTCAAGAATGACATTATACAATAAGTAAGCAGAATCCTGAAAGAGAAGATTGCTAAGTGAAGAGACAGAAGGAAGGTGGGAGAAGTATGGATGGAGTAGATAATTCTTGATAGTTGGAGGGAATGGTTGTTAGCGGAGAATTGAGTGGCCAGGGTTGGCACGGAGGCTATGGGGTACACTGTGCTATTGTTTCCCCATTATTTTCTTCCCTTTTCCCTGTAAGGAAACTGCACATCTCCACTTGCTACAACGTTACTGTAACTTCCATGGGAGGAGTATACTTCCCTGCCCATTGATATGAGGCTTACACCAACCAATGTAAAGGGATGTGACCTATTTCCAGTTCCAGGCAGAAGCTCTAAAAGCCACTGTAAGCTTCTGCCACCTCTTTCCCTTTCTCCTCTTTCTCTGACAGCCTTTCTCAGATGGGGCTGATCTTTTAGCCTGGAATCACGAATAAAAAAGAAATGGACAGACAACAAAAAGATCAGTGGTTGTCATAGGTTCAAGGGGAGATGGAGGGAGGAATTTTTAGGGCGGTGAGA